TCCTCTGGATCCTTTGTGTGTCTTTTCTAGGCATATATTGATCCCGATCCCGATGCTTAGGAAGAAAATTTACGATTTTTATATGCGGATGAAGCAACCAGACGGCTCGTTTATTGTCAATAAGGACGCAGAGGTCGACGTTCGGTGAGTAACTGATATTAATATTTACATGGAGGTTGCTCACTGGCGTCCAATAGTGGGACGTACTGCCTTTTAGTGACCGCCACCTTGCTTGATATACTTACACCCGAGCTCGTTAAAGGGACCGGAGAATTTTTGAGAACTTGCCAGACTTATGAGGGAGGGTTTGCCTCGTCCTCACACCCATACTATAGCGCAGGAGCTGATCCTCGGGTACTGTCTGAGGTCCGGCCAACGTTAGGCGAGGCGCACGGCGGTTATACCTCGTGTGCGATTGCAAGCTGGATGATGTTGCAACCATATCATAAACCGGGAGGTAAGTTATATGCTACCTGCCGGTTCTATGACTCTGATAGTTAAGGACCGTAACAGACCCAGAAGTCAATGTGAAAAAATTAGTTAGGTGGGCCGTCGGAATGCAAGGCTTACCCATAGAAGGAGGCGGATTTCGTGGACGTAGCAATAAGCTCGTAGATGGATGTTATTCCTGGTGGATTGGGGGATTAGAGCCTCTCCTATTGGAGTTAGTTGGGAAAGGTAATCAGGAAGGCGAAACAGAGGAAGTTAACTTCGTCACCGAAGAGGATGATAACGAAAGTGCGTGGTCCGATTGCGATTGTTGGTTGTTAGGTCTGGGTGCACAATATTAGACGCTAACTACGCTTCTCACCAGATGGCCCAACCGTACTTTTCGACAAGACATCCCTTCAACGATTTACTTTAGTTTCTTCTCAGATGCCCTCGGGAGGACTTAGGGATAAACCTGGAAAGTAAGCAAAGATATATTGGCCTACTGGCAATCCAATTAATTATTCGCTTAGGCCGGCTGACCTATATCATACGTCCTACAATCTGGCTGGATTTTCTACCGCACAGCATCGAGTGTACCGATCCTTGATTACCGAGGAAAAACTCAAAGCATCATGGAAGAGCTCCTCTGGACCAATCCCTAGCGGTGTTGAAGAGTTACGCCGCGCCGCATGGGCACGAGCTTGTGCATGGCAAGAAGATGAAGGAGCCCACTTTTACCTCGGAGGAGAGCAAAACCGCGTGGTAGGTTGGCTAAATGCTTCAGGCTTGAATGCGCTCATGCCTGGTTTTACGTAGAATGCCACCCATCCCTTATTCAACCTATCTATATCTCACACTCGCGCTTTCATGAACCACTTCTACAAGCAAACTGGCTTGTAAGATGCCACTTTGCATGATCTGTATAATCCTTGGGCTGTGAAATTAAACTTTGTCAAGAATGAACGCTGATCCTCTGTGTGAAATTTATTCTTGAGCCTCATTGGCTGGATCGAGCAGAGATTGATCCAGTGCGGTCCAAACAGGCTAGATATATACCGCATCGAGCTATGCCCTGATGGGGGGAGTCTTGTATAAAACAAGGTTGCAAAACACTCCGATACTGGGAATCGAACCCAGGGCTATCGCGTGAGAGGCGATAATGTTAGCCACTACACCATATCGGATTAATCAGGTCAAAAGGCCGGGAATCTGAGATCGTTTAATGTCTTTTGATCAGTAGCTTGGTCCGTTTAGCAGTTCCTTCCCAATTCTCTAGCTCACCTGTGGTCTGGAGCAGTCATAGCCTCAAAATTCACATACACTAACACGCCATGGATAAATTAACCCCATGTATTTGTACCATGCATAGTAACCGTTACTTTTTTGCCTTGTCATATATAGCTCTGCATACATAGCCGGGTTCATTATATGCTGCTAGGCCTTGACCCTGATTTCGGGCGAGAGTGAGTGGAAAAAATTCGGATACTGTCAAAAACAAACATAACTCCAATCAAGGTATGGGTCATTGCGTCCATTGGTATCATTGTAACATCGGACATTGGGAACAAATTCGGCAAGCACCTTTTCTAATTCGTCAGTGCTCATTAACTCTTCGTTTCCTTCCAGAGCAACCTTGCAATTCCAAGTCCGAAGTACTTCAATGGGATGAGCACGAAGGATATCCTGAAGATTTCCCAATCGAAAGGAGCAGTCCACCAGAGATAGTTTCTTATATGCGTATACTTTTTGCTCGGAGTCTGGTTGTTGATGTTTGGGGCGGATACTCAGGCCATGGAGACCTAATCTATGCAAATGGGGGAGATTGGTTACGGCGGCCGGGAACCATACAGGTGCATTAGTTGATCTTGCAAGGCGGCCAAAGTGGCAGTTTGTTACATTTGAACGTTGCAGAAATTCTATTATCTCCGCTCGCTGGACGATGTGCTGAAAACTTCGACAGTGGGTCCAATTGAGTGCTAGGCTAAGCGGGTGGGGGCCGGGTGCTAGCCACCGCATTACCATCCAAGCGTTGGGCAACAGGATATGAGATAAATTCAAGAGTTGTAATTCAGGAAGATGAACCGGGTTCAAGAATGTATCACTTGGTTGGGTACCCTTGAAACCACAGTCACAGGTAAGTGCACGAAGCTGAGGGTTTGCGCGTAGCATATCTACAAACTCAGCCTCTGTGACACTATCCGTGACGTTAGTTGAATGCAAGTGGGTGATTCCATGATATGCTTGACTAGTCCAAGGGAGGAAGAACGCTCCCCTTATGCGTAGACAGTTCACAGATCTCAGAAATCTGTCAAATGATCCGGCCGCGCCCCGTTCCTGGGGCAGATTTCGACCGTGTACTACGGGACGACATTTACTGCTTAGCAAACTTAGCTCTCCAAGGGAGCCAGGAGAGCCGTGTTGAAGCCAGCAGTCAAGAATTGGCTCTATAAGACTATCATTCAGAACATCGCTTTCCTCAATTTCAAGGGAACGCATCCGATGCGCTATGCTGCTTAGCCAATAGACGAGTCGTTGAACAGAGTCTAGCTTTGGCATATGAGCTCGCTTTACTATTATGCGAATGTGTAGTGGAACGTCTGCTGAAAGATAGGATTGCATTGATAGGCGCGTCTGAGCATCTTGATTCTGTGACCGATCATAGGCGATTACAATATACGACCACAACTCAGGGGTTACAGTGATTAGCTGGTACCAGAATTTGCAAACTTGAGTCAGCACACGAGGATATCGGTGTGGTTTTTGTTCGTCGGCGCATCGTAGATAACCCTTGCACCACCAGCAACCATCATGGAACTGGCAGATCACGACCAAGTGAAATATGCGGGCAAGTATTTCGGAAGGAAGGGTGTTAATAGTTGGTAGCATTGAAAATTAGGCACCGACACAAGCAGGTACGTTGTAGTTCAGCCCCGCCCTGCTTCTGTGACAATAGGGGTTGCTTCCTTGTGGTCGAGGTTCAGGCGGGGTTTGGGCGGCTAAGATCGGGGGTTTCGTCACGTGCTCTTGTTTAGAGAAACGCGTCCTCGTCTGATCCTCATCTCCTCCACCACTGACCACTCCCAAAGATGCTTGAAGCACGCCTTGAACAAGCTGTTACCCTTAAACGACTCCTAGATGGTAAAGACGATCAATGATACGCGTTTGCGCCGGTTTCTGACGCGTCAAACGTCTTGTTAGCTATTAAAGAATTAGTCACGGACGCGAACTTTGAGTGTGGAGATGAAGGCCTAGTACGCGTTGCACCTTTTATTCAGTCGCAAAAGCTGATTGGACGAATTTTAGAAACTCCAAGCTATGGACAACTCGCACGTCGCGCTCGTCTCTGTCCAACTCGAGCCAGGAGGATTCGACAAATACCGCTGCGATCGACCCATGCCTCTCGGCGTAAACCTCGGTTCGCTCACCAAGGTCCTCAAGTGCGCCAAGGATGACGACCGAGTCACCCTCAAGGCCGTTGACAATGCAGACGTGCTCAACTTGGTGTACGAGGCACGCAGTATGTCGCTCCTGTTAGATGATTCGAACTGCTATTGATACGTTCACAGATTCGGACAGGATTGCTGAATACGAGATGAAGCTCATGGAAATCGACATTGATACGCTGGGGATCCCAGATACCGAGTACGACGCGATGGTCGTCATGCAATCTGCCGAGTTTGCGCGCATCGTCCGAGACTTGAGCGCGCTTGGTGAATCCGTCAAGATCGAGGTCACGAAAGAGGGCATCCGGTTCTCTGCCGACGGTGAAGCCGCGAACGGCAGTGTGCTGCTCAAGGCTACCGAGAGCGCACGAGAGCGATACAAGGATATGGAGGAAGGTGGAGGCGAGAAGAAGGTCAAAGTTAAAAAGGAGAAGTCCGACAAGCCCCGAAAGCGCAAGCGTACCGATGACGCAGATGTCAAGATGGAGGATGGGGAGGAAGAGGTCGAGGAGGACGATGGCGGCGAGAAGGGCGGGTTATTCAAACCTGGCTCGGACGGCGAGGAGGAAAAGGACGACGAGGAAGAGGAGGCCGGATCCGATGTCGAGGAAGAGTCGGATAGCGCCACGAAGAAACGAAAGCGCGCCTCTCAGAAAAAGTCCAAGGATGAGGGATCCGAGTCGACTGGCGGAGTCATGGTCGAACTCAGCTCGAGCGTAAACTTGACCTTCTCGTTGAAGTACCTCGTCAACTTTTCCAAGTCGACTGCCCTTTCCAATTATGTAACACTCAAGCTCAGCAACGACGTGCCTTTGCTGGTGTGTATTATTCGTTCCACCTATTAGACAATCACTGACTTGGTTTTGGGCCAGGTACATTACAAGTTTGGCCAAGGCCACATCCAATACTACCTTGCACCAAAGATCGGAGACGAGTAAACGTTTTATCGTTTCATCGTTTTGTTTACTTTCGTCTTGTTTTACCCTTGCTTGGTTTCGCGCTAGCGTAATAAAATTCTGTATTTACCCGGCTACAGTTATTTTGAGTACAACCAAAAGGACAAACATGACCTTGTGATAAGAGACATCATCAAGAAACAGGATAGACAAACTTGACAAAAGTAATTGTCCCCACCGTGAATCGAACACGGGCTGCTTCGGGATAGCTTCGATGAACCACAACGAAGCGTCATAACCACTAGACCATAGGAACTTGGAAACAATCCTCAATACACGTTACACAAAAGTGAGCTATGCCGCGGACCATAAAATGACGAATATCACACATTCATATCATGAACTAGATCAATTCAAAATCCCAAGCTGAGAATAAAAGGGACTACAAAACAAGCAGAGATATATAATACGTATACGTATAGAATCAACCGCTAGGACCTTCAAAAATAATAACCACCAACAAGGGGCGAATAAACACACCAGCCGGGGTGAACTTTAAACAAAAACTAAAAAAAATGGGCAGCGACTCGGCGCGTAAAGTAAGAATGAGCAAGAACCACGAGGCGAGGACGAAAGAGTAACGAACGGAAGCGGCATTAGCGCCACGGGTATGAGAGAAAGAGAATACGATCACCACCTAACCGCACTGAGATACAACACAGCTGTCCGACCAGGCAACAAGAGGGGGGGAAAACAGGAGGACCGAGGGAGAAAAGTAAGAGTTTACTTAGGCAGCTTTGCCAACAGTGTGGTCACCGCTAGTCTCGCTGTAGGCCGAAATCTCGCTGTTGGTGCTCTTTCGGTACGGATTCCGGTCCTCGGCTGCCGAGGGGCTCAGGTTGCTGCTGTTGGAGGGTGCGTAGAGAGTACGCATGCCTTGCTGGGATCCAGCGGGGCTAGGGCCATTACGGGCCTGAGCATAGGCATGCATCATCGCGTCGGGTGAGGCGCTGGGTGGGAGCATGGGCATAGTACCAACGGGGGACATGGCACTGTGCGCAGCTGGTGGGGGAGGTTCGACCGAGACGCCGGGAGCGTCATAGGCATCATAAGCCAGGGCCATGCTTTCGGGGCGAAGGATAAAGTCCTCGCTGGAAGAGTTCTGGCCGGTTCGGAGGTCTAATACGGGTCAAAACGTTTAAGAGCTAATACAAGCGCGACAGTAGGACAAACTCACGGGTGGCAGCGGGCATCTTCAGAATATCATCCCTCAATTCTCCATCGACGCTCGGACGACCATGTTCCTGTCCTTGAGCAACCTTGGCGCGAATATCATCTGCGCTCAGGGGGAATGGTCCACTGGTCTGAGTCGGGCTCATCTCCATGTCATCCGACGCAATCGTGGCGCGATGGAACGCGCGAGTAGGAGTGTTGTGAGAATGGCTAGGGCGCAACGAATCGCCAAGCGAAGGACGCGAGTCAGCCGCAAAGCTGACACGACTGATACGGTCTGACGCGTTCAACGAAGACAAGGCACGGGGGCGGACCTGACTCATTTCAGGTCCTGAACCGATCGACGAAGGGTGCACGCCAGTTCCATAGCGAGCACCAATCCCAGCTTGACCGCTCTCGGTGGCAAACGTCGAGGAAGGACGTCCGGCGCTGCCGCCCATGTTCTGAACGAACCAGCTCGAGGCACGCGTGTTGCGGCTTCCGACGTTGGACGGGCGGCCTTGGCTGACCCAGTCCTTGGAGACGACGGACATGCGCTTGTCCATGGCCTGTGACCAGCGGTGACGCTTCTTCGCTTCCTTGGCGCGGCTAAACTTGACATAGACGATCAAGGCAACCGCGACGGCGAGAATCGGGAAGATGACCGCGGCAGCGAGCGCGCCCTTGTTCAGTCCTCCACCGTTGAAGTTGTTGTTCACGGTCTGGTAGACCTCGTCAGGAGTGCTGGTGTCGATAGCAGCCGCGGCACCACCAGTAGCGGTAGCAGCGGCAGTCGCATCGTACTTGGCGTTCCAGCTGGGCCCGGCAGGAAGGCTGGACAAGAAGAGGGGGGTGCCGCTCTCGACAAACGAGAGTTGGAGGCTGACGGAGGTCGTCGAGTTCCACCACTTGGGCTTGAGAACGTCGGTATACGTGCCTGCTCCAAAGTTGACCTGCTTCCACACGTGGATAGCGCTGGCCGCGGCCGAATCTGGTGCCGAGAGGTAGATGTCAATCGCGGACGGCTGGTTCGAGGCACAGGAGGTGTCCCAAGTGATCGTAAACGACTGGAGGGCGTCGACAGTGGAGCCCGCGGCGGGTCCAGTGTACAAAGTGCAGCCTGTCCGACGAGTCAGCCGAGGGAAGGATCATGATCTAACAAACGCACCTCGGTCCTCGATGATGCGCTTGAGCATCTTGTGCTGGGGTGCGAGTGCGTGGCCAAGACGAACATCGGAAAACTGGACCATGTTGGGTGTTGTGATTGAAAGGAAAGGAAGGTCGTAAAAGACTGGAAGGTGAATCACGTCGTCTCTTCAGCGCCAAATAGGCCAACGGGGGAGGAGGGAGAGCGCAAGATCAAGAACACAAGGAAACAAAACAGCGAGCGACGCGGGACCCCGGCCACTATGACAACCGGCACCCTGAGTTCATTTCACGCTAGGCCGCATGCATACAACCTGCCGACTGGAGACTCGTATATAACAAAAATAATACATTCATGCTGTTGTCTGGTCAAACGAATCTTTGCCCGGTTTCGCGGGCTCAAGCATAGTTGAAGACGTGTCGTGAGGCACATGGCTTTCCCTGGTTCGCGCTCGGTGCACGACTTCAGGGTGCTCCGCTTGCATCCTTGCAAATGCCTATATAACGGCATATTTGTTAGTAACCGCATTCAAGCGCATCTCATCTCAAAAACTCACCTTCTCGGCCTCCCAAGCGAAGACACTATCCGCACTGAAAAGCAAATCCATTTCTTCCAGCGTACGTTGATTGGTTTCAGGATAGAATGCCCAGACGAAAGGAATGCTGAGTACGTTGCACGTGCCAAACACGTACAGTGTCTTTTCGTTGATGGCTCCGAACATCACGGGGGTCAAAAGTGTGAGCCATCCGTTTCCAATCGACCACCCGACAACACCTAAACACAGTTTGAATGGCTCGAATCGGAGAATCAACACCGATGACGTACCCCATGAATTACCGCGAGCTCGGCACTCGAGCGGGAAGATCTCAGTAGGGTACAACCAAGGAACTGTGAGCCAAGTCGCCCCAAATACAACTTTAAAACTATCAGTAAAATTATCTTATGAAGAAATAGGTAGACCTACAAGTATACAAGAACACGAAAAACGCTGCCGCTGCGCCATATTGTGACTGTTTGCTCGTACCAGCAGCATCAAATGTCAATCTTGAGAATCCCCCAGCAAGGAACATCGCAATGCCTTGTCCAACGCTCCTGTTTTCCATATACGTTAGGCTAGTTCACAAAACCCAAGGAATGCAACGTACCCCCAGTATAGAGTCCAACGTCGTCCGATCCTATCCAAAGTATAAACCGCGACCAGAGTCGATAGCATATAGGTAATATTGTTGATACCGGCCAACAGGTTCGATTTATTCTGGGTATATCCCGCACCTAGGCTTACCATCAGAACAAGTGTAGGCCGATTTTTTGGATACATACCGGAGAAGATTCGAGGCGCATACACCGTCACCGCGGCGATCCCAACCCTAAGATCCCTCAACATCAAATCTCCGCGCAACCGCTTCCGACTCACCACTCTTGCACAATCTGCAACCAGATAACCAGCTGAACCCGACGTGCCACATGAGAACCCTTTCGACCGCGCCCAAGGAGCATACCCATGTATGAATTCCCCACACCCGTCCCAACTTGTTTCCCATCCTCACCCACGACAGTACCGTTATGTTCAAGCTGAACAACCGCCTCGATCTCGTCAGCTTCCTGGCGAGCCGCATCCGGATCACATCGAAGTCGGACGAGAATATATTCCGCATCGACGCGGCGACCCATTTTGATCAACCAACGAGGGGATTCGGGCATCAAGTTAACCACAAGTGCAAGGACAATGAGCGGGATGATCTGGAACGCAATCCTTTGGTGCCAAGCTGCATAAGTACCACATCAGAGACAGGATTCGGCCAACTCACGGAAACCTCCACCGGAACTGAGTCCTCCCACCATCAACAAACGAAAGCCCGTACTCCAACCAGTAAGCGACCACAACTCCAAAAATGTTCAGCGTAAATTCTTGAGCGATAAACGCCCCTCGAGATGAAAAGTCTGAAATCTCGGCAGCCCAAACCTAGCCAACCTCAAGTCAATTTCGAATGCAAACTTCATGTAGGGTATATGACGTACGGGAACGATCGCATTCAAATGACCCGTCCCAATCCCGTTGATCAATCGCGCGCAAACCATCCAGGGAACGTTTTGAGCCGAGCATTGGAGTGCGGCTCCAAAGATGGACCAAGCGCAACCCAGGACGACAGTCTTTACACGACCTATAGAGTCCCCGATTTTACCCCCAAGGAGGCAGCCAATGAGCGTCCCTGCAGTGAAACTCGTGAGGAAATGAGCGAGAAGAAACGGAACCGGACGGACCAAGATAATAAATAGCCACAATTCCGCCTTGTTTGGCCGAATTGGTTACGACGGGCGTTCCGTCTGGCTGTACGTATCCATATTTCATTGTATTGATACTGGAGCATGTCAATAAAACGCAGGAATTGCAATGTTGAACAAAAACCTACTAGTCTTCACTGTTGTTCACCCCGGACATCATGCTACAGTGTGCGCCAAATTAAAGCTGGAAACGCACTCGGGACCGCAGAAACTCACCCCTGGTCATAACCAAAAAAGAAAATAGATACGCAGCAGACCGCATTAAAGGCCGTCCTGGTGTCCAAACGAGTCAATCAGCCAAACTATCTTGTCCATCCATACCTCCAACAAAACTCACAAAAGTTTCTTCCCCTCCAACCTGTTCGTGGCCGAGAACCGCTTGTGCGCAAGCTTGGACGTCTCCATGGTTGAGTTCGAGGGAGCCCGGTTTACAGACCGGTATTCTTATAGCCCTTGTCATTAGACATTTCAACTCTTCGATGCCGCATGTAGCCGAAGAAAAGTTCAAGCGACGGAGTTGTGCCCGTGAAGAGGGAGAAGATAGAGAGTGATGTCATTAACGATACCGTTTATGGAGTAATGTCCGAAGCGCTTGTCGGCTGATTCTTTTCGCCAAGGATCAAATATAAAATAAGAAACTTGGCCAAGAGAAAGTCAAATAACGGATGTTCGCA